AACTTTTTTTAGGTGTTCTTGCTTAATCTTTTCAGGTCAGACATGAAAGGCTCAAGTCCTGTAGAGCCCACAGTTCAGTTCACAGTAGAGTTTGCTTGCCTTAACACACCCAGTTCAACTCACAAAGAGCTTCACAGCTAGCTTATGAAATCAGTGGGGTGTGTAAAAGCAAGACTGGAGTTTGACACCCTTGCTCTAAATAAGGCAGTGTAATAAATACCCTCTGGAGACGGTTGGTTGTCAATGGCAACTTCCTCTGTCATCTGTGTGAGTAAGTCATTGGCCTGTTCAGTCTGAGTCTTGGTATCAGGTGGCTGGTGAACCTGCACAAAGTACCTTTCTCAGTGCATACATGGCCCACATTAAATGAAAAACATTAATAAATAATAACGCTGCCCCTTTGAGTGAAGCCATTTAGTCATTTCTCAACAGATTTGCGATCAGAACATATCCCAATATGGGGCCTGGTGATATTGCAAAAATTTAATATTGTGATACTTATATGATCACTCTGACTAACTTCGACTACCAAAACAATCATAACACTACTGAAACTTCATAAAATCAGTAGTTTCAGCCATAGTTATCAGTAGTGAGAATTTTGGCAAATTTTGAGCAGGACTCAAAAACGCTAGCCAGTACATGACTAGCAAACACAGCTTTGAACAGATGTACATACGTAAAATCATAATATTTTTCATTAAAACATGAAAAAACAGAAGTGAAGAAAATCTGTGTTTCAGTAGTTACAATTCTTAATGTTACACACTGCTTTTCGGACTTTGGAACACATTCACTTCAAAACAATGGGATCTAACTGTTCATCATTTGGTCGTGAGGGACAGGGATTAAGTCTCAGTCTGCTCTAAAATGCAGGAGTGGGGATAAAAGAAGCCCCGTCTATGGACTAAAACTGTGACTATGACATGAAAATGTGGGACAGCATTTTTTGAATAAATTTAAAAATTAAACACATGATAAATCTAAATCTTTCGACTTTAAAGGCAATTAAGGTTCTTAAAAAACATTGGAAAAAATATAAAAAATGTAGTTTCCCAAGTTGAAATTTAGGTGTTATGGTTTGGGATAGGCACCTCCCAATAGAAAATACACTATAATAGACGCTTTTGTATATATATATATATATATATATATATATATATATATATATATATATATATATATATATAGTTTATTAATACCTCAATTAATGCCTTGGGCTTAAATAGATCATAACCTAATACTTGTCTGGATACTTATTTGTTTTTTATGTGAGTCAGCAGTTTTAACTAATTCAGCAGAATGCTCTATATACACATCATTATATTTAGCTTTACTGATATTTGCTAATAATTTTGCAAATTATTTTTGCAGACACAATGTACCAGCAAAATAGTAGTAGGGCTGGAACAATAAACAAATCTGCAAATTTAAAAACTTATCAATATACATTTGTTCATTATGTTAAATCAAGAGTATTTTGTAGTTGCATATTCTGTACAGGACAGTTTCTATTTGCACCAGAGGGGGCAACAAAGCCTTAAAGGGGAATTGCACTAGTTTCTAGAGAAACATACCATCTAGAGAAACCACTGTAAACATCAGAATAGGTTACAGTGATGGTGAAAATGTATTTTTTCAGTCTGCTAGCCGCCCGACCCACAGGCACCGACAACAGGCATGAGAAAGGGCATGGAAAACAGTGGCTGAGCCTCATACGCTGACAAAGACCTGCGAGTGACAGCGGAGGAAGGCGTCGGCTGTGCGAGAGAGCTGCAGAACAACAGCAGCTACGAGAGGCGTGAGGACAGCGCCCGAGTCCCGTTCATTGTCTGCATCTTTAAATCACACTAAAGGAGAAATTGTAGCTTTGTCGCTGTTACTGCTCCATCTCCTTCTCGCATTTTCAGTGTAAAATAAATTTTAAAAATGCATCCGACTTGATATGAAGCTTTAAATATGTTAAATCTGTACTCAGTGTGAAAAGACCTCATGACTAAACATTAAATTATACTTAACTATGAAAAATACTGCTATTTATGCATTTTCCTTATGTAACATTCACTGACACCATGGTGCACAGTGTGTAAATAGAGTAAAACCAGGACTGGAGGTTCAGACAGTGGATCATGCAGGACACTCATGCATAAAAATAATAATTTCTACTTTTTGATTTCATGGCTATTATTGATAATTATCAAAAACTGATGAGTGGTCCTAGCCCTAACCAGTAACATCACATTTTTTTTAAATGCTGAAAAACTGAGCACAATGATTGTTAATTTTATTTAACATAATAAGGTTCAGAAATGAAAATCAAATATTTATCAAAGAAATAAATCAGCTATAAGTTTTTAATCTGGAAGTGTGACACAACTAGTTGGTCTAAACAACCGACCTAAATCTCTATTTTTTTATGAAGCATGCAAATAAATGGTATCTGCAATGTCCATAGGAAAGTATCCTATCCTGGCAATAATTATGATACATCATCAAACTGACCATCCCTACAGTGCAAAAGACTCCACAACTAAATTCACTGCAATTATCCTAAATTATATACATTTTTATCCTAGAATAATGGATATTGTGCCACTGTTGGCACACCTTCCAAGCACCTAACACAGGGATGGAAGCAACCCACTAGTTACTGCCATGACAATTTATCCGCCCTGTACTTACTGGAGGCGGAGCTTGAGAAGGAGGAGGTCTTCCCTGCAAGGCAGCCAAACGGTCCTCCATCTCTTTAGCTGAAGGCACTGGCTGGTCTGGTGCTTTCAAAGCAGCGAGACGAGACTCAATCTCCTTCTCAGATGGTATGGACTCTGCATATGATGAGGAAAAAAATACAAGTATATGTCGTGTGGCCCAGTATGCAGCATCTCAATTGTGCTGGTGGCCATGCCTCACTCTTACTTGGCTTTGTTTCTTCCTTTAGCTTCTGGAGTCTTTCAGCAATAACTCGGTCCTCCTTACTTAAACCTTTGGTTGAAGTAAGAGCTGGTGTGCTGTTCTTTCCACTTCCTTGCCTTAAAGGCTCATTCCGAGTTTGTTTGGCTTCAAGAGCAGCAACTCGCCTGCAGCACAAGACACTATTAACGTATCAAGGTGGGGAATACTGTGGAGACTTCTACAAGCATTAAGCTTCTCAAATGTGCAGTAGCAGTAAGTCATTGTATCTGGTATAATAATGAGGACATCCTGGAACTCATTCCCTTAATACCAATAGACATTTTTATTATCTTACATCTTTTCAGGTCTTACTGAAGAGACGTTCACAAGCACAGCCTTTTTCAAACCTTCACCACAGCTAGCAGCTTCTGCACCTCTACTGCCCTGCCTGTGCTCACAGGTCTTCTGACACTGGACTGCTGTCCATTCCGAAATTCTGTTTGGTCACTGCTAGGGGGCAGATCTTTTAGCATCATGGCCCCCAAATTATGGAACATATTACCACATTCTCGTTGACAGAGTTCTTCAGTTCTATTCTTCTTTTTTATTCCTCTGTTCTTTTAAGTTTGGCATCGCAACAACAGAAGAACCTTTTTTGGTGCTCTAAGGTTCAAAAAGGTTCTGTGTAGAACCCATTCTCCGTCAATCTGAAGAGCCACTTTACCATGCAAAAAAACATTTAAGCATTCAAATGAGTGTTCACGGTTCTGTATAGAACCAAGGTCTTTACTAAAGAACCCTTGAAGAACCATCTTTTTTAAGGGTGTACAATGAACCATTTCACCTCAAACCACACTGAATGAGTTGGGTTTCTCAAACGTTTAATTAAGCAGTAATTTTGAAAAATCAGTGGAATTCCACTTTAAAATGTATTATCATTATTATTATTATTATTAATAGATTATTAAATCCTACTTTTTGTAGTTTTCAGGTGGAGACCATCTCGCAGCATCATTCTGTTTACCACCACTGCAAGAGCAAAAGGACATTTCTCATACACATCATCCACAGGAGTAAGACATCATCATTCATCAGTGCATCACAAATCAAACTAAGCACAAGACTAGTGGGCACCTGGTGAGGTTTCCGTGGCACTGCCTGCACACCTTCTGCTGAGTGTTGCCAAAGCGGGGGACTAAAGCGTTGTACGTCAGACAGCCAGAACAGAACGAGTGCCCACAGTTTTTGCAGCCCACCTACAACACAAATACTCCGTAAATTACAAGTACATAAAATGCAACACTTCTTCTTTTTAAACCTTTAATGGCTATAAAAGCACAAACCTCTTTTTTGAAGAGAGTGAACTTTGAAGCACATCCGTAACACCGGTTATTCATGATGGGCCGCTGTCACAGTTTGAGCTCCAACTTTTCACTATAAAGGCGGAGAGCGATTAAACTGACAGCGAACAAAACAAAATCTGACGACATGAGCTGTACACGTTCGGATACACAGCGCAGTTCTTTGCCAAATTCATATTTACAGAAGATTGAACTGCTCAGTGCACAGATATCAGGTCCAGCTCCGCTCCTATCTGTCAAGGAAGGAAAACACAGGAAACGTGCCTGAAAATGTCACGGGAAATGTAGTCCGTGTAACAGTCCTAACAGACAAAAAAAGACGCAACTGAAATTCGTTCCAGTTTACAGTTGTTGTAATATCGACCACTTCTTTACTTAATATATTAGTATAATTGCAATTACGTTTGTCAGCCATAGATTACGTAAGCAGAACATGAAAGTTAAACCGTTTGAACTTCATTACCCTGCATGCTTTGTGCTCCGTTAAAACCAATTAGAAGTTTAAAGCTCAACAAAGATTGCTATCTAAAATATTGAGATTACGATAAAATGAATAAATTGCAAATTCATACAAATACAATAAAGCAATCTACAAAATCAATAATTGTTTTGTTGCAGCATAATCTTTTTGTAGCAGTCCACCTCTGACGCGCAGCGTTTGGGTCACGTGAGCAGAATCTAAGCCAATCACTAATCAGCGTGCTCTCTGTCTCCTCCCGGTTTTCGTTCAAATGGTTTGAGCTCAAAGCCAAACGGACGCGAATTCTGCAAAACCGATACAACAGAAAAGCAGGTCTGGATATTTACATCTGATTTACTCTGTTCAGGCGTACCTGAGAGAAGAGGAACCTGTCCACCTCGTTAGAAATAAACGAAGTAAGTTCGATAAGTTGACTTTAACTTTAAAAATTTGTGGGCAGGCGGACGAGTTTTGCTGTATTTGTCCCTTTAGTTAACGGCGGCTGCATTCAGCTGCCATGTTTTTATCCACAGTCCTGCCAGCTGGTTACATGGATTTAGATTGCGTGACATAATTTTGGCTAACGTTACTCGCACCTTAGCTATAAGTTGTATGTGAATTCGTTGTACGTACGGTCGTGTGTACCATCTGACAAGTTGTATTATATACACACATTTGTAACGTTATTGTGTTCAAACTAAACTACGCAAGTTAACTCACCACGTTGGAGCTCGCCAACGTGTTCCATCACTTCCAAAATGATCTCCGGTAGCAAACTCATTGATGGAGACCGATGCATTAAGTTACTGTTCTGTGGTTATTTGAAACTCCTATTAAAATTATGAGTTGTGTTGATGTTTATCTGGTTAACGTTAGATTTGTGTTGAAGTGAGGACAGATGAAGGAGAGGTCTGAAAGCGTTGCTGCCTAACTAATAAGGTTAACTAAGTCTTTTTTGTGTAGAAGCCAAGGCTGCACAGTAGGTTATATCTGTCGTTTGTTGTCATATCGCAATATCGTCCTTTAGAATGTTACTGATATCGGAAGGCTGGAATATGCAAATGGGCCTCTAACAAATTGCTATATTTGTGTATGTAAGAATCATCCTAACCAATCGCAGGTAATCCAGATGAGCTAGTTAGTTTTATGTACCCCTGACTGTATGGTTGTATGTACACATGATCCAGCAAATGTAAACAATTTTTCATCAAAATGACATTTTCCCATGTACATTACAATTGCAATACAAATTCAAAAGATGGTTCTTCAAGAGTTCTTTGGTAAAGGCAGTGGTTCTGTTTAAATGGCTTTGTGCTTAACGTTAAATGGTTCTTTGCATGGTGAAATCGTTGGTCAGACTGATGGAGAATGTGTTGTAGGTTATATGGTTTTGTATAGAAGATTTTGAGAATTGTTCTGTATTGTACCAAAATGGTTCTGCCATTGTTATGATGTCAAGCTTGTAACATTAGATGAACCCTGTTGGTGCTATATAGAACTTCAAAAAAATAAAGTTCTATATAGAACAATATACAAGATATTCTCTTATCGATCAGAAGAATCATTTCACCATGCAAAGAATCATTTAAGCATGAAATTGTTCTGTATAGACCTCATGCCTTTAATAGAAGAAACCTTGATGAAGCATATTTTTAAGTGTGTAGCAATGTGAACACACTAGTATTTTGTCTATATGGTGCAGCACTGATAGCAGCTACATGGTGAGGCAGAGACTTTAGACTCTAAAATCTTCTTATCCTTATTTAACTGATGAGTAGATCTATGCATGTAAATATCTCCCATGCAAAAACCTACTCATAGGATCTGACTACTAGGGGGTGTAACGATTCACAATGTGTAGTTCTGTTTGATATGATATGGTGGTGTCTTGATTCAGTGCATTTTTCAATACAACTAATAAAGGGCTGCCTGAAAATATTTATTTTTCAATATAACGGAGTGTTCAGTATTTAAGTACAATAATACCTTGTGCCATTCTAAGTACACTAATTAGGGCCTTAATATGGCAAAATGGACAGACAGTGTGAGTCCCAAGCTAATACACTAGCCATGAGTTACAATGCTAACGATGATAGAATATGTGATATGTAAATATAGTTTAAAGTTCAAATGATTAAAATAGAGCTTTGTAAAACACAATAGTTTATTTTGGGGTGGGTTATTTATTTATTTAATTATTTATTTATTTATTTATTTATTTGATTTAATATCAGTTTCAAACGACCACATCTGACAGTAAAGCAGAACTCCTGCTGAGTTTATATTTGGAAAGGATTTTGGAAGCCTCAGTTTAGGATTTTAGATCGGCCTGTAGTGCTGCAAAAATGCCCTACTTTTCAAAGCGTAATGTGACATAATGAAGCTGAGACCGCAGCTTAATTATTCTGACTTTTATTGCTGCAAACTCTATGGGTTCAGTATGTATGCATGCATTCAGGAAAGCTCAGAGTGGCCTGTATTGGACTGTTAACTGATTATCTCTGAATTCTCTGTCTGTTTTTCACATAGCCACCTTGTACAAACCAGTGCTAGTCTGGCTAGTTGAGCTGGTCTTGTCAAAGTTTTGTTTAAGTCAGATAAGTGGTCAATACGTCTCTTTACTGGCAGGCCACTGGTAGAGCAGCTTGCTGCCGTCAACTGACAATGGCAGAATGCGAGGCAGAGTGGGAGCTGTGCAAAGAGAACATCCAGCCGCTGAGACGCGGCCGAGCCATCTCAGCCCTGCACCAAGCGCTCCAGCAGCAAGAGGGCTCCAACGCTGCTCTCAACCAACAGAAACAGTTAGTGAGCTTTATACATTCTCTATGCAAAGTCTAGTCCACTGTAATGCATTCTGAATGATTTATTGTACTTCAGCAGCCCATTGCACTTGAATTGATGTGGACCTTAGCTTACAAGCAACGTCTAAAACATGAACATTTGGTACCAACCATATTTGATTTATGTTTTGTGTGCATTCACAGAGCATATGAGACAGAGCTGCGCATGTATGATGGAGATGACCCTCTTGATGTCTGGGACAGGTGAGATTAAACACGTTAACAGTTGTCAGTCACATTGTACTCGGAGCTGTGAATCTTGGGCATAGTGTTTTGTAGGTTTGTTTGTTTTTCCTCTCTTCATTTTGCTGTTTCCCCTTCTCACAAAAGACACATTTTGTTCTGCAGATACATCAAATGGACAGAGCAGAACTTCCCACAGGGAGGAAAGGAAAGCAGCTTGAATATTCTTCTGGAAAGAGCAGTCATGAAGTTCACAGAAGAAAAGAAATATCACAATGATGCCCGTTATGTTGATCTTTGGATCAGATTTGTAAGTGTGTGTGTGTATTTATACAGTTGTATGCAAAACCTTGGGTGCTGCTCATCAATTCACGCATTCTCTACAGAGAATACACATTGCACATCTATACATTTAATGCACAATTACTGTTTATTTGTTGTTTTAAATGTGGCCTGTTGAAAGGTTATGTCTCATTTCTGTATAGTATGTTTTCTTCTCTCAAAATTATGAAGTTCAAAATATGCCATGTGTGTGTTTCTGTAGAGGATGACTTATTTTCACTTAGCACAGAGCATGTCATTTGACCAGGAGTGTTCAAGGTAGAGGTCGACTGATATAGTTTAAGGGCTGATACCAATTATTAGTAATTAAGGATACCGATGACCAGTATTTGGAGCCAGTATTCATTTACCATAAATTTGATGTTTGTAGTGTGAATTTACAAGAATACATCTGTACTTACAACTTAAATTTAATGAATATTAATATTATAAAAAATAAAGTGCTTTGAACTTTAGACAGCATAGGCTGTAAAATAATAACTGAAAACTTTTGTATTTAGTCTAGATACAGACTAAAACCTGTATAAAGCCTACACTCACCAAATACTTGAAGCTGTATTACAGTAAGCATCTGTGCAGTCATGCATTTAAAATGGTCGCTATTTTGCAAATACATCTGTATTTACATCTGTATAACTGAGAAAATATTAATGTTATTGTGTTTTTCATTTTGTTCAATCAAAAATATATTTTATGTAAAAAGCAGTAGTTGGGCATGATGAGTGTATCAGATGTATTTTGCGCTGAATGATTCAATGGAAAATGCCTGTTTTGTCTAAGCAGAGCGGTGGAATCTTTGCAGGTAGTGAGTTAAAACCCCTAATTAAAGCAACTGTATATAGCTATAAAGCTAATGTAGCTAACAAGTAATGGTAATGTCACCCAAAAACTTTTTTTAGGCATGTGAAATTCTTTTGCATTAGCCTTATGGATCTAGTGCAAAACTAAAGATGGAGTTCTTTTTAATTTACAGGCAGAAGGCTGCTCTGAACCTCTAGATGTCTACCGCTACATGCAAGCTCAAGGAATAGGGACAATGCAGGCATCTTTCTACATCGCATGGTCTGAAGAATACGAGAACAGGGGAAACTCGCGGATGGCTGACAGCATATTTCAAGATGGTTTAAAGTGTGGAGCTGAACCTCTAGATAAGCTCCAGCAGTTTCACAAGTATGGAGTCTTCATGACTTTTATTTTTGTTAGGAGATTTGATGGATTTTTTTTTTTAAATAAGATCTTATGATTTTTAGGGGTCTAGTGTTAAAAACCCTTCTAATCTATGATTTGGAGACCTCATAAACTTGTCTCAACTAAAACTAGTGGCAATTCAGTGCTATAAAATCTGTTCCCAGGGCTTTGCAGGCACGTGTATGCAGGCAGATGATGGCAGCAGTAGTTGATAAGGAGAAAGTGGATGATGAACCTCCAGAGCCTCAGAGGATTTCCCTGGTGGAGCTTAAAGCCAAGGGAAAGAAAAAAGCAGTTGCTCCTATCAATAGGGTGGCCGGCTCCATTGGCTGTGAGTACAAACACTTTGCTTGGTGGTAATCACTGGGGTCTAAGCACATCAGTATAGACCTTTTAGCACATAGAGCACAAGTGATAGGCACAGATTTTATAATGGCCTAGACTTATAACAGAGGTGGCATCCTAAAAGAAGGTGTCTGCCAAATTTTGTAAATATGGACCTTTTATCCTTGGCCTGGTAAGCAGCATATTTGTAACAAATAAATCAATATTTGGATGTGACCCATTTTTGCATAGTTGTTAAATTCAGTTAACTTAATAATTTCACAGCAATTGTCCATGTATTTTTGGTTTAGAGTGCACCAGGATTTCATGATGTTCAGTAACGGTTTCTTTTAGAATGATGTTTCTAAACCCCACTTCAGCAGATTGGTTTATGAACTTACCTCTTTATTGCAAATGAGTTTTTTTGAAGGTGAAAGAAGAGCAGTTGCTTTAAGCAAATGTGATGCTAATGGCAAATTGCTTTGTTTTTGCACAGATGCACGGGGTCTGCAGTGCACACAACCTGTAGGACCAATAAAGAACAGTCGGCTCATGATATATGATGAAAATAAGGAACATTTTGATCCTCAGGAACCGAAAGTAGAAAGTTGGATGGCTCCACCTTCTGCTAAGGCCAAGGAGAATGAACAGAGGCCTGATAAATGGACCAATGCTAAGGTACAAGATGTTATTTTATGTATTTCATTTATTTAAAACAAGATTTGTAGAAAACAATGAGTTTTAAATATAGTAATTTGTTTTCCCCTCCACTTACCAGTTGCCCCAGAAGTCCAGATTTGGTCATACTGTAGTGGTTCCACCACCAAAGCCAAGTTTCCAGCCCTTTGTGGAGGAGAGTGATCAGCCTCCTGCAGTGTGAGTGTTCTGAGATACAGCTATCTTCTAGCCTCATCACACTAACACATGCCAGTTAGGCTTTGAGCCTTTGGCTTTTAATGTGCATGATAATCACTGAATGATTTATCTCTGGTTTATCTCCTCCATCACTTTATAGGGCACTGCAGCTCTTGAGGGTATGTTTAGTGGACATGTTAAAACAGGCTAATATTCAGTGTAATAAAAATTCCCTTTAAGAGCACATGGCATTAATTCTTGCTTATGAATTACATACATTGCCTTCATTCACATTTGTTGGTGATGGTCCCTTTTGATTGCCGCTCCTTTAACACAACCTTGTATCTCCAGCATTACAGGAGATGTAAAACATTCCTAACTTTGAAGCAGAATTCCACAGATTTTTCTAAATTTGTGCATAATTACATGATTAAGATGTAAAGTCATCCAGAGTGGTTTGATGTGAAGTGCTCTGTTCTAGAGAACGTACTGAGTTAGAATCATTGGTGGGAATAGAAACCTGATGTCTGAATGTCTCTGAAAGCTCCCTCACAGACAGTTATTGAGAAGATGTTGGCTTAAAACCTTTTTAAATCCATTCATGGCAGGGAGGCATATACTAGGTGTCGAGGCATAGTAGTCCCCACAGAAATGTTGTGTTTTATTATTTCTTCGAAGATTTTTTACTATTTTACCTTCATCAGGATTACATAAAAACACATGCAGGTTCACTGGTGGTTTTTGATGGTAAATAAAATGGCTATATTTGCATTATAGGCATTATAACCCCTTATTCCTATCACCACTACTGTAAAGAAATAAGTTTGTAAGGTTCTCTACAATGATCCATTTTGCATCAAACCTCTCTGAATGGCTTTGTTTACATCTCAGCGATTGAACTATGCAGAAATTTTAAATGTGAAGGTTTTAATATAACACTAGTGAATTTCAGTTGTCATTTCATCCCTCAGAACTCCATGTAAGATCAACCCAGCAGTGAACACTGTGCTGTCTGCAAGGAAGCCGCGGCGGGAGGAGCAGACTCCACTGAAGAGGTTGCAGGAGAGGCAGCACCATATGCAACTGCAACAGGAGGACGAGGGCAAAAGTGGAGAGAAGTGCATGTACTGCAAGGAGCTTCTCTTCAGCGGTGCCACAGAGTTCTCTTTCGAAGAGCTGCGTGCTGAGCGATATCGCCAGAAATGCAGCCAGAGACTGGAAGCAGGCAGCAGTGGCAGAAACAGCCAAGAGCAGTCACAGTCCAGTTAAAATGACTGACAAGTGAAAAAGCTGAAAGGAAAGCAGTGTTTTAGAGCAGTGGTTCTCAATTTTTGTCCTGGATGCTACTTTTCTGCTCATTTTAATGTTATCTCTGCTCCAACACACCTTATTAATTCAATCAGCTCATTAACAAGGCTGTCCTGAGTTGAAGTGGACGTGTTTGAGCAGGAAGAATGCTAAAATATGCAGATCAGCGTGGCAGATCACTGCAAAAAAGGACCTAGGCTTTGAATACCTTAAATGAGCCTCTAAAGTCATCATATGTTTGTCCTGTGGTTGTATCCAAAGAAATGCAGTCAGTTTTGAGTCCAAATCTGGCAAAGGCTGTGCTGTTACTAACTTTAATGTTATTGTTTGCTTGTTACTGTAGCAGCAATGGTTGTTCAGACACTACAAACTGTAGCTGTAACCGTAGTCAGATGTCAGCAATATTAAAGGGAATACTTTTCAACCTAATCTTTTTCTAAACAGAAAGCCTGTTAACTCAGAACACCAAGCCACCAGGTTTTCTGTTCTTTTACCAAGTTCAGAAAACATGCTGCAGTTATTTCCCATGGTAATTGAAGCTACTCCTTTAAAGGGGAAATTCACCAATTTTCAAAGTTGAGTGGTTTGAGTGGTTTGATGTAAAATGGTTCACTGTAGAGAAACTTTACAGCTCCTTACAATGGGAGTGAGGGGAAATGGGTCACCATGTCTACAGGGCAGATATAGACATTTTATTTACTATCTAACTGACTAGCGAACCTTAATGTGTGGGATATTTTCTTGAGGAATTTTTTCTTTCTCCTCTCTCTCTCTCCTGAATGTACTTTTCAACTCTGCATATACTGGTGTATCATAAAACTGCTGTAAAATAATGTCTCACTCAGCAGATTTTTTTCATACGTATTTAAAGCCATTTCTTGTAACAGCTTTCTGCGAGTTAGCTTCAGACGTCTGATTCCTATCACCACCATTGTGGACAATTCTGACTCAAGTTTACCTAGAATGCAGCATTTTACAATAGAACGCTTTGAATTACTTTAACATTGCAATGATTGAATTGTGCAGAAATTTTGAAAAATGGGTGGAATTCCCCTCTGTTTCCCTGTATAAAATACTGCTGGCTGATAAGTAATGACTTCTGATATTGTATTTCTATGGTTCAACCTGTATCTGTGCTTTTGTAAATATTGTTTCATTGTTTATCACACTGTCTTGTGTGCAGCTGTCAGAAAAATTGTCACTTTTGTTGTATTTTTTTTTAAACTTTGTTTCTTTTGTACTGTTGTAATGACTATTTTCAGAGATGGTGTAGAGATGCTAACGTTTTTCCCTTTACCCTGTACCTCTTACAGGATGGTCACCCATTGCAAGAACCAGTATTTTGTTTGTAATAAACAAAAGCAGTGTTTTTTAAATGGTGTTTTGTTGACTGTTAGCAGATGAACATGATGAGAGGCTCAGCCCTTTCTTTTGGGCAAGGAGAGTGTTTCAAATACAAACCAGTCAGGCCAAGATGGTGTTCACTGCTCTCCTTTGCACATCATCTGCTCAAACAAGTTGGTTTACCTTTGTTTCTCAGCTGTACTCAATCCTTTGTTACAGAACTCAGAAAGGAAAAGTTCAAGGTCTGTCATGTAATGGTCAGGTAGAGGGCATAGCAGGGGAATGTGTAGCCAAAGAGGGACTGAAAGGTAAATTAAAGGAAAATTCCATGGATTTTCCCAGAGCGATTCAGCTGAAGTGCTGCTTTGTAAAATTTGAAAGCTTCAAAAGAAAGCTGAAGTGCATGAATGACATCAAATGGGTTACTTTAAATAGTTTTAAAATGATCATTTAGCTAATAGCTTGATAGCTAGCATTCTGGCTGCAGCAGTTTCTGCTTTGGTTTCTTTTGCATGAGAGGGAGGGAAGTGAGAATGTAGAACATAGAAACACTGCCAACACCATTTGAACGAGCATGCAGCAATCCTGTGTGAGTTTTCAAATTGCATACGTTCTATTTTTTTTATCAAGTCTTTGGATAGAATGAAAATATAAACTTAGGGAATTGTATTGGTTTTTTTAAATGTAAAAATTTTTAAAGTAACCATCAAAGACAAATTTAAAAAAAATATATATAAATATATAATTTGGACAAAAGCATTAGGACAGACCTCTTGAGATATTTCATTCGGTCCCATTGCCACAGGTGTATAAAACCAAACGCCTAGCCATGCAATCTGCCTTTGCAAACATTTGTGAAAGAATGGGTCATTCCAAAGAGCTCACTGAATTCGAGTGTGGTTCTGTAATAGGATGCTGCTGTTGCAACAAGTCAGTTCGTGAAATTTCTTCCCTCTATATTCCACAATCAACTATGAGTGGCATTATTGAAAACTGGAAATGTGAGACGCATAGTGCATAAAAGTCACCAATGCTTTGCTGACTCCTCTGGCATTAACATGGGAGCCTTATGGCATGGGTTTCCATGGCTGAGCAGCTGCATGCAAGCTTTACATCACCAAGAATAATGCAAGCGTCAGATGGAGTGATGTAAAGCATGTTGCCACTGGACTCTGGAGCACTGAAAATGTATGCTGTGGAGTGACAAATCACACTTCTCTATCTGGCAGTCTGATGGGTGAGTCTGGGTTTGGCGAATGCCAGGAAAACATTACCTGCCTGTCTGCAAAGTTTGGTGGAGGAGGGATAATGCTATGGGGTTGTTTTTCAGGGGTTGGCCTAGACCCCTTAGTTCCAGTCTCCAATACAGTTCTCTGGAGTGAAGCATTTTACACCAAACAAGAATGAGTGATCGTAATCTAATTTTTTTATTTTAAAAAATCTATGGAATCTCCCTTTTTAGAGAAATCATGAAGAAAAATGGAAGTTTCCTTTACAAAAGTTTTGTTAAGCAAAACGCTTAATACTTACTGATTAGTAAGTATGCTACTAAACTCTCAAACAGTCTTCCTGAGGAAAAGCTATGAAGTATGAAATCTTTCATACTTACTGACATTTACATACACTCACTGAGCACTTTATTAGGAACATTATTCCTACAATCATTGTCCATTTTATCTGCTCCACTTACCATAAAGCTGCACTTTGTAGTTCTACAATTACAGACTGTAGTCCATCTGAGAGAGAGCAGGTATTATGTGGGTGGTGGATCATTCTCAGTACTGCAGTGACACTGATGTGGTGGTGGCGTATTAGTGTGTGTTGCGCTGGTACGAGTCGATCAGATGCAGCAGTGCTGCTGGAATTTTTAAACATCTCAGTGTCAATGCTGGACTGAGAATAGTCCACCAGCCAAAAACATCCAGCGAACAGAGTCCTGTGGGCAGCATCCTGTAACTACTGGGGAAGGACTAGAGGCTGACCACACAAACCGTGCAGCAACAGATGAGCTGTCATCTCTGACTTTACATCTACAAGGTGGACCAACAAGGTAGGAGTGTCTACCAGAGTGGACAGTGAGTAGACAGTGTTTAAAAACTATGCCTGATCCACTTGTACCAGCACAACACATACTAACACACCACCACACACCACATTAGTGTTACTGCAACGCTAAGAATTATCCATAACCCAAAAAATACCTGCCTTGTAATTGTAGAACTACATAGTGCACCTACATGGTAAGTGGACTCGGACTGTCTAACAGATTGCAGGCCAGTTTGTCCTTTTTTTCTGAAAATGTGTTTTGCTCTACTTGTAAGTTGCATATCAGTAGCATATTACTGCAGGTTACATCATCTGAATTGTAAGTAGCCTGCCTGCTTCTGCTGACACTTCAAATCCCACCATATGGTGATGGACATTATGAAAATTGTTATGGTCCTTTAAAAGTCATTTAGTTTGTGTAAATCTTTTGCATAAGCCACTGTCTGCTGCTCAGACATGCTTTTCCATTTGACAGAAGGACCCCATTTATCTGGTTACTAATGAACGGTTTCTTGCAATTTGGAATGGTGTTGTTATACTAACATAGCACTTGCAAAGGTGAAGATCATTTTTCATTCCATAGAAGCTACTACTAACTGATCCAGATAAATATATCCCCAGACAGAAAATCCATAGCTTTCCTGCTCAGAGCGAGTCGTTGACCTGTTCTGTGTGCTTAATAAGCTACTGTAGCACTCAGCTTGGCTGCAGACCATTTCTCATTTCATTTGTGTTTCTTTCATGTCCAACAGACATTTTAAATATGTGTTTCTAAACATGTCCATAGGGGTCAGTTACAGATAGTTGCTAAACTGAGCTTTGTGCACTCTGTCCTTATCTTTTTTAAATTAAATATTGGATATCTTGTAGTACGTGCCACCCAGAACTCATTCAACACCCTGTTCTTTGTGCTGAAAAGGTCTAGCCTGGTCGAGCTGAATTTACTATTTCATTTCTTTTTTTTTTTCAATTGCTGTTTACATAGTTCCTTGTTTCATTTTCCATGCAAAAGTTTACTTGAACTCTAAGGGGCTAATTAGGAGATGGGCTGCACAATCTGATCAAATGACCATTTTGTGATTATATTGTTCCAGATTGCAACTGCAGTATATATTACAATATACACTATACATACAGAAGTTTGTAGACACCTGTTCATCCAATGTTTCTTCTGAAATCAAGGGTATTAATAGGGAGCTTGTCCCTGTTTTACTGCAATAACAGCCTCTACTCTTCTGGAAAGGCATTACACTAGATTGATGTGAGGATTTGATTGCATTCAGCTACAACAGCATTAGTGAGGTCAGATACTGATGTTAGATGATTAGCTCCGGATCACAAACACCACTCCAACTCATCCTAAATGTATTGAATGGAGCTCCGTCACTCCAGAGAACACAGTTTGACTGCTCCAAAGTCCACTGCTGGGAGGATTTATATCCCTCTAGCCGACACTTGACATTGGGCGTGGTGGCCTTGTGCTCTTCTGTGGTTGCTCAAAAGTGTCTCATTCTACTGGCAGTTTTCTGTACGTTCCTGCTACTATTCAAAAGATCATTTTGTGGGGAAACAGGATGGCTGTCAAAAAAGTACACAGTAGGCAGTCATAGTACACATAACAGTCATACAGCATTATTAGTAGGCAGCAGCGCTTAGTGAAGTAGATAGCCTAACAGCTAACTTCATCACCTTTTATGTGTTTATTCATTTATGTATATTTCCTGTTGATAATATTGTTTACTTTTGTGTTTTAATGTTGACATTACTTTCTTTGCCTAGTTTTATGTATGATGTTTGCACCTTTTATGTGGTCCTAGCATTGTATGTCATCTTAGCTATATTGATCATTTTTGTTTTACTTAATAATTTTCTGTGAGCTCCATCAGCTTGTGTTTGTGTGGTTTTATATACCAGCCTCTCTTTATCCCTCAGAATTAAATAGGCTGTCTGTATTTTCTATAAGACTGATATGTGTAAATGAACTCTGTTCTGATTGGCTGCCCTCTATTAACACTCTAGGCTGAAACACTTTTTTAATTTCAGTGAGAGTGGGAGGAGCTAAAATGCTGTGGCCTGAATAGGTAGATACATGCAAATGCACTGGCTATGTGTGACATCACAGAAACAATGAATTCAAAACAAGCAGATTTGCAGCTTGGTGTCCATATGTGGACTTTATGGACTGGAGAGTGAATGGTACATTTTGAAACTGTAACAATGATTACATACTACATCAAAACTTAGCACAAAAAAGTGAGGAAATTTTCCATGACATTGGCCCTTTAAAGTTATTTTGCATTTTCATTTTTTGCATTTAGATATTTCTTTCAGTCCATTCAGTTAAACACTGAAATTGTATTAAGTTCATAAAGGAAATCTGAGGAAATCCAAATGGCTGAAGTGGAGACTGTATAGTCACTCACATCTTTCCCCTAAAACCACCCACTGAACCCTTCACATGTCGTCATGGCATACATGGCCAGCACACTTTTCTCAAGACAAAATTGCAGAATGATGCACATTAGTGTAATGAAAACACTGGAATATTTTGAATATAGAGGTCCATAGATGTACAGATTCCTGCAGCATATGCAGCAGGGCTTTCCTCTCTGATTGCCTTGCCATCAGCACAGGTGCCTCACATGTCTGTGTGCTTTTTCCTTATGTAGCCCACACCAGGGACTTTGCCTTCGGTGACCCTATGGTCAGGATACTAAACTTACTGAGGTTACAGCTCTCATGGGTCTAATTATATACAGCGAGATGGCAATGCACAGAAGGGAAGCAGACCATGTACATTCTGCAGCAGCTGAAAAAAAACTCTCCCAGCTCCTGGCAAATTACAACATGTCATCAGGTCTGCTGAGAAAGTCATCATCTGCTCTTCAGCATGTCAGGAAGTCAAGAGCAAGGGCCTTCTCCAGCTGAAACCAGGCTATG